AAGTGGAGAGACTCCCCATTCTTAAGTGGAGAGACTCCCCATTCTTAAGTGGAGAGACTCCCCATTCTTCAGTGGAGAGACTCCCCATTCTTCAGTGGAGAGACTGCCCATTCTTAAGTGGAGAGACTCCCCATTCTTCAGCGAATGCCTTCCTCCTAGCAGCACCCCAGTGTAAATCTTTCATCCTGCGCCATCTGACTCCTCAGCCACACCCGAGACCTAGAAATACCGCCGTGAGCCTCATTTAATGAGGGCTTCAGCTATGAGGAACAGGACAATAGCATATTACAGTGCAGACAGGATGCCAGTCTATCACCAGACACACACAGACACACGCGCAGGGCTATTTACGCAGAGAGCCGGCACTGAAGGCAGACTCCCAGGACATCCTGCTGCACTTAAGCTTGCTTAGATGAGATTAAACTGCAGCCATTTATATATGCAAATACATAGTTATAGTTAGAACCAGCACACTGCGTAACAGCCGGAAATAAGCTGTCATTTACTGAACATGAATGTGTGGGGGCTTCACAATAATCATTTTTGTAGGTGCAGAAGGGGTAATTCGAGTTGGTTTTGCTCTGCAGTTGCAGGTCTAGGTGGCATGGTTATTCTGAAGTGACTGGGAATCAGGTGACGATTTCAGTCCCTACAGTACCAACATCGGGCAAGTGTGATGGCCACCTACAGTCTGTGGCCTTCTGTTTAAATATCTGCGTGTTGTTTTAATGAGTTAGCAAACTAATGTAAGGCATGCAGGAAAGCAGGGTGTAGGGTGTACTCTGCCCCACCCCCACCCCCTTCCTAAAATTTCACACATACTAATCAAACTGGCATGATTGGTATGCTTAGGCTTACGCTCTGTGTTTCATGGGATTGAGTTTCCCCCAGCAAAACACCGTAACGTAAAGAGAAAGTAGCATATTTCATGAATTGCAACTACAATAACAAGATAGTGACACTGTCCTTTCCTTAATTACATCTTCCGTTTTTTCAGAAAGTCAATGCATTGAAGACACTGCTTTCCCCACACAAATTCTGTGCCAGCATGGTCACCTCAAAGGCACAAATTATTCTGCAGTGCGAGTCACATGGTGCCATCGTGTCAACCCTGATTGGAGAAGAGGCCTGTCATGCAAGATGACTGGGTTGCTGATTGGTCAAAAGGAGGAGCCCTTATGGCCACCACCTTCAGAACTGTCCCCAACGCTGGTAGAATAATTCCAAATGGAATGATATCAAAAATCTATTGAGCCTGGACAGATCATCCATCCATTTTCGCTAACTTCTTGTCCTGTTCAGGGTTGCGGGGGGTATGGAGCCTATCCCAGAGGCTATGGGTGCAAGGGGGGGGGGACTAGGGTTCATGGAGGAAACCCCTCAGCAACACGGGGAGAACCGAGGTTCCAGAGGTGTGAGGTGACAGTGCTAACCACCCCCCCACTCCCCACGAAAGCACATCAACAACAAAATCAATATATGACATGGTTCATGCTTTGCTGAGGGGTTTCCTCCAGGAACCCTAGTCCCCCCATGACATCCTGCACCCAGAACCATGACATATCAGATGTACCTTTGTCCCTAATTGATCACTCACCACGGTGCAGAACCTTCTAAAGTCCACTGGAGGTGCTTCATTAAGTCTATACTTGTTTCCTCGACTCACACACAGTAATGGCATGGCGAAAGAACAATGTGATCATTGTTCTGTTATGCGGCTATTCACAGCAGATTCCATTCTGGAAGACCTGGATGCCTTTAAAATCATCGCCGTATCTCTGCTGCCGGTCACTCAGCATTCATTCAAGCCGTGTTGGGTGGGAGTGTTTTTTAGTTATTGAACAGCGGGCAGGCAGCATTAAGCTAAAAGCCAACAAGACAGAAAAAAGTGTGTATTCATCAGCACATAAAACATCCATCCATCTAACTACTTGTCCAGGACAGGGTTGTTGGGAGCCTGCAATGTCTCCCAAGATGCCCAGGGCACGAGGTGAAGGACCCCCTGGAAAGGGAGTCAGTCAGTCTCCTGAAAGACGCTCACCCACTATGGCCAATTCATAGACACAAATAACCGCATGTTTTTGGACTTTAGGAGGAAGCCTGTGAGAACACAGGAGAAGATGCAAACTCCCCTCGCAGAGCTTGGAGGAAGGATTTAAATGCCCAGTTCCAGAGCTGGGATGTTACACTGTGATCCAGTGAGCCACAGTGCGGCTCCAAATTAAACATCCATACAGTAATACATATGGCACTGGAATTTTTCACTGCATTATCTCCTCCAATAACTTACACATGATTCCTATTTTGTGAATAGGGTTTAAGCTGAAAATGTATTCAATTTTATAAGCTGCTCATCTACAAATAATTGAAAATAAATAGGCAGCTTATAGCATATGTTTCTGTGCCCAGGGATGGACCCTAGATTGAGCCTAGTGCATTCTGGGATATATGCAGTTGGATTATGGATGGATGGATGGATTTTAGAATAAACTCTTGGCAATTAAATGGATTTGCTACATATGTTACATAATTGCTGAAGTAACAAACAATAATGCAGTCAAACTTAGCTACTTTAAGGGAATGTTAATAGAGCAGCTGTTCTAATCTTTTCTTTTCCATAACTGAAATTCAATTAGGCCGGCCTAACATTTTCATGCTGGAATACATGAAGAATAACATTGAAATCCACATCGTCATCATAACATCCTTTTCAGCATCGCCTACCCACGTCTGCTAAATAAAGAGGCTACAGGAAGTTAGAGTGAAACGTGCAGCCAGCCCAGCTCTGGACGGCGCTCTTGTGCAGGTAAGTGTGTCTAATGGAAACAAGGTAAGAGTTTAGATATACTGAGCTATGACAGATGTCGCCTGCGGGAGGGGGGCATGTTTGCCTGCCATCTCTGCACGACACCCCGGGAAGATCTCCAAACAGAGGGCCTCCTTGTGGCTTTCACTATCCAGCCCCTTCACAACGGCCAAAATAACACAAACACAGGCTGTTCACGCTTTCGGCGGCTACGTCCAATTGAACCCGAACCTAACACGGGCTGCTGGAATCGTTCTCGACGCTCAACCTCCGCTATATTTAGCGCGAGTTGGCAGGACATGGGGGAAAACGTACGGCTGAAAGGCTCCTTCCTCACGACCACATCCTTATGGGATCATCGACACCGTTCGACACTTGGTTTGCCCGTTTTCCCACACCAGCTAATTTCACCCTCTAAATGGCAAAAGCAGACGTCTCGTTGACCTGCACCTAGCCCAGCGAGGAGAAGACGCCTTACTTACGGTGGTGGTTTCTGTCAGGTTTTTCCATACGGTAGACTCATTGCTCATGGTCCAGGCGAAACGTCAGCGTCCCCCTGAGGGAGAGGGAATGAGACATTACGCAGCTGCCTCCGTAACGCCGCAACGACTCCCGCCCAACGGTTCACCTTCACGACAACAAAGGAAAAACAGTGAGGAGTTACTATAGCAGGAGAACCTTCCGGCACAGCGCTGCGATGATATCTGCCTTTGCTGAGCGCAGAATATTTATGAGGGCCTGACAGAGAGGAGTGGGGGGGGGGGCACACTGTGCTGCTTCCTGCATGGCCCTCAGTCACCTGTTGTTTCGGAGGATGACAAAAATGACGTCAAGCTCAGGAGGCGAAGGGTCTCGAGTTGGCGTGAGTGAAGCATGCGGCAGAAACGTGGCTGGGCTCCATCTGAGACACGCTGGCTGAGTCTCATCGCATCCCCTCACCCCGCAGGGTCCGACCCTTGTAATCCGCCTACTCTGCCTCTTGGCTGCTGTTCCCGAACTGGAACGGCTCCAGCAGGGACACCTTTTTGCCGAGCAGCGTTCCCGAAACTCCGACGGCCGGCGTTTCTCGTTCCCTTCGCGGGAGTAATGGCCCCCAGACACAGCAACGTCTCATCCCTGACCTCCCATAAGGGCCTGCCGCACCCCCGCTCCATTCGCACGCCGAGCACCGGCAGCACGCCCCACGAGTGGTTGGAGTGACACGCTCGCCCCGACCCCCGCCAGTCAGCTCTTACCCCGACAGAAGCCTCCGTGCCGCGTCTGCAGTGCCTCTCCCTGCAAAGCAGCAAAAATGATCTGAGGCTCCCCAATGCCAACCTGCCTCACTCGCCTGCTTATGGCTGCGCAGCAGACTGCGCAGACGCACCTCTTTTTTTCAAAAGTTCTACGAAGCTCGACAATTCCATAATACCTCAATGCATGAAACGAAGGCATTCCACCCACAAAAACCATTCATATAAACGACAAATCTGACAGGTCATATATGTGCAATCTACGTGCCTCTAGTAATGGTGGACAAAACATAAGGGAGATTTCGTTTTGCTATAAGCTTAACACATCCCCAGCCGGTGCGACTTATCTATGTGTCGATGTTCAGAGACACAGGACACACACAGAGGTGTAGATACAGATCTGTATCATAACCTGACATGTCATTATTACACGCAATGATAATATCGCTGAGGCTATGATATGCCAATTCCACATCCAGGCCCCAATCACCTCTTCAGATTCGACTTCTGCAGAATATTCCATATATTGCTTTTTTTACCACTCATGTATTACCCAAGGTTTTATTTTCCTGACTGATCAGAATTCAAACCTTACACATATATTACCCATTAACTGTGAAACAAAGGTAAAAACACAAATCATTTTTACATTTCATAAACAAAAGATGCACAGGTCACTGCCATTACTAGGCTACAATATAAAAGGCGATAGAAATGTAACATTTTATCGCCAATTACTTGCATTTGGATGCTGTTAGTGTTCTATTTACAAGTTTCATATGAATAGATGTCGCTATAGAGTTGTAATTTACTGTCCTCTGGCAATTTACTACTGCAAGAAGTCATTTATCTAGTGTTTAAAGCAGACTAAAAACATATCTCAGTTTTCAGAACGCACTAAATATTTTTAAACCCTTACAGGTGTCAAGACAGGTGATGAGATTACATCTAAGTACCAAAATACTTCAGAACGATTTCACTGCCTTTGACGCCGTCTTAATGTTTTTGCACGAAAGATAAGCCTTACAATGTACTATTGTTTTGTTTTTTTTTGTGGTGTTACTGCAATGAAATATTCTCCCAAACACCTACCTATGCCTTTCACCATCATTTTGCAGTATATTAGTGATATATAATCATTATCTTGGGGGACCTAGAGCGACATCATCGCAGCATAAGAGGCAGGAGACTTAATCCTAGTCCATTGCAGGGAACATACACACACACAATCACACACTACAGGCAGATCACAATGAAGAGCCTACAGTAACTGCATATCTTTTAGCAGTGGGGGGAGGGGCAAGAGGAGATCAGGGTGACACAGGGTGAACATGCAAGCACCTCATTAAGTATATCCGCAGTTTTATGCTTGCATTCTTTAAAAAGAGGAAAAACATATACGATCGTTTGAGTTTTACAGTAATTAGAGGAAGTGGAACTACGCCCGATTTGAATTACAAATGCCATGGATATTCCCCTATTCGTGATATTACATTCTGTTATCTAAGCAGTGAACACAAGCATCACAAGCAGTGAGACACAATTATGTAACTTTGGAGGCTGATTCTGTCATCGGTATGAAGTCCATGTACACTACGTAAAACAGCAAATGGCAGGGGTACTGAAAATATTTAATCTCGTTATATTACATGCATTATTCACCTAATTAGTTGCCAGATTTTCTTTATTCAGGTAGATGCATAGACTTTATAAAACAACCGAATTGTCCGAAAAAGGGGTACGGCATTGTTAAGACACAACTCAATAGTCCCTTAGGTTGCATATAAACGACAAGCGTTATTCTTAAATAAAACCATTCAAAGTTTTCGTAAAAGAAAACTTTTGAAATATTATAGCTTTATAATCGATAGCAGTTTCCATGTCAAGGCCAAGCGTGGCTTATATGCTGTTTACGCGTATTAAGGCCATTATCCATACAGGGTTTTCGAATCTAAATGTCACCCTATAATCTCGAGCATGCATTAATTAGTGGCGTTTTGCGTTTCAGTGAGCATTACGTGATTTATATATTTGTTGCGTTTGTTTGATGATATAGTCCTTGCTATATACTGATCGAGACGGCAACAGAATGCAGATTCAGGTTTGTCTGATTCACACGTCGTGAATTTCTCTGGTGTTGGAGAAATCACATTGCATTATCAGTGCCTTTAAGGCCCCGTAAACGTTCGTCAGTATTAGGAAGTAGCGTATGTTTTACGCGGATTATATTATATACATCATGTTCCAAGCTAGCTATAGATTACTTTCTTATTTGGTCTAATAATTTCTGGACGAATTTTAGATGGTACGTCTATTAATATATTAATGCAATGACATTTTTATGGAATTATCACAGTCAAAATCAAATAGCCTTTTCTTTAATATCTATATATTATCTATATCGATATGGTGTAAGGCACTCTTTCTATCGATCTCTAGATGAGCTATCCACGACTTATACATGTTTTACTTTAGTCCCATGTATAGAAGCAGAACCAATCAACTGGTTTCAAATGGGGTTTTGGACAGCTGAACTGGTTTGCATCACCTCTCTGAGTACCGCTGTTAGGTTATTTATGATCCGAACCTAAGATCTTCTAGTAAGGAATGCAGACTACTTCGGCTGTCTAAAAATCCATTTGGAACCAGCTGAAATTTATGTTTTAAAAATATACTGGCTTTTCCACCATGTCTATAGGAGACCAGTTACACTTCCCCCAAAGTACTATCTAGACTGAAAACGCATTGCTATTGAAATGGTTTCCATTTTTAAGCAAATAAACCAAAATGGATCATAGTATCCATTTGCGCTAAACAACCTGCGCATTGAAAATCATTACCGATGTGGCTCATTCGTAGTGGACGGATGCAACCAAAATAGCCGAATAGCCGGACTCTAAATGTTGTTCACCTCATAATGCATTAAATGTTGTTTCCAATATTATGTTCTCCGTTTTGCACGCCTTACAATATATATAATTATGGATACATGAATTGTAAATAACGCATAACACCAGATGTTGATAAATTAATAATATAATCTGCAACAAACATATATGTAAGACCGAAATTTCACTGTCGCTACGACGTTAATTTTTCAGATGCACGACATCATACGTTTAACTAAACCTTTTGCATCGCTTCCTAAATGCTTATACTGTAGCTGTTTCATGCTCGTGCTTGTAACATTATTCTCGGTGGGCTACAGCGCTAAACATAGAATCATTGCCTCTTTGAAACAGACACCGTTTGTTCCAGAATAAAACAAACGGGTAAAAACAAACACAGTTATTTCTGTTACATGCTTCGCTGTCAAATTATGGTTCGAACACACAAGACAATGCTATGTTCAATTAACGAGAACTGATAGAAAACTGAACCATGTCTATACTAGGCAGAACATAAACTGAGTGGCAGAAGACTCACCTAATTGTAATTCATGTGGTCCATGCAGGGATATTTAGACAGAAACCAATGGCGCACAATCTTCCTCGAACAGCTTAATTTTGATTTAAAAGCTAGACGTATTTATGAATGAAACCCTATGATTTAAGACACACCCACAGCACGATCTGGACATGACGTAAAGCGCTGTCACCGTGGATCGAGGGCTGAGGAGCCGAGAGGAGACGCGACCCTGTCATTGGCGTAATCTATTCAAAATATAAAGAAAATCCTGCTAAGTAATGTATATATTCTATTCTATTCTATTCTATTCTATTCTATTCTATTCTATTCTATGTGACCTGGTAAAGTTAGCTAGACTGCGTATTATACATTCCAAAATTAAATTTCTGCTCAAAATAACCGACAGACAGTTGTATAGGCCTGCAGTCGGAGTGCTAATAACTTTAAGTGTCTGTTAAACTAGTTAGATGAGGAACGGCACCGCCATTTCATTGCGACCCAGTGCAAGTGTGTTTTGTGCATAAAATTTACGACACCATTAAAAGAGGAAAGATGTAGAGGAAACTCAACTGAAACCGGAATATAACCCGCAATGATCTATTTTGGAATTTAACGTGAACTGATCTTGATTACTCACGTGGTACATGTTAGCTAAAAAAAACCCATTGAGATGAAAATTCTGCTGGAACCTCATAAAAATGTGCATTTTTACAATGTAATATTTCTTTGCGAAGGGCAAGATCCTGGCGTTCTTTTACTTCTCGTTCCATTAGGGAATTATCTGTGTCTTCAAAATTGGCATAAAAGCCATTTTTTTCTGAAATAAATTATTAATCAGTACGGGATACAGTTGTTAATTGATGCTGCTATATCGTACGGCAAACGCTTTATATGGGCCTATATATTACAAGATTATGTTCTAAAAAAGATAAGGATGTTATTTCAATCCGAAAAGTTCTATACTAAACAAATAGTAATTTGCCAAATTGCTCACCAATTACCAATTTTTTTTACATTCTCCTAGCGCCACCTTCTGGAACTATATTTGCCTATTTTATTAATAATTATATGGGCCACTTGAGCCAAGAACTCAAAGCCAAGAAAATTATTTATATTAATAACAATTGACAATAAATTGGCTATACTATCAGCATTAGTTAGAATATGAACAGAAAAGTGCATTCCAGATGGAATTTATATACTAAATAGATTAATTTTAACCTATCACTCCATTTATATTTAGATTAGAATGACTTTTCCTTTTTATCAGACATGAAACACATCTGTTATACTAACTGTGTAGTAGAAATACAGTATTATAGAAATGTTTTTATTACACTACAACCCCCAGAATACATCTGCTTCGCAGACAACTACATGTTCCGTGATGCTTTGGGATCTGAGTAGGGCTTCCGGGTTGGTTGCGCGTATCCTTTCGATGACGGTTGTCTTGTGGGCTTTCGGGGTTTCCGTTCATGCGAACGCGCTTCGCTAAATAGCCCAAGAGTGTCCAGCTGCCTAGGTGTCTTTCGCTTTTACTCCGTCAACGTCAGGGACGGAAAGTCCTCTAAGTTTGGGTCACGAATTACCTAGAAACCTACAATGACGTTAAGAAATCCTCATTTCAAAGCTGAACAACTATCTGTTGTTAACATTTCATAGTTTACTACAAGGTTTTTTGCTTAGACCTTGAGAAGACAGCGGGCAGTTATACTGTGCGGTTTTATTATTTAAAACTACCCTCGAGTTTTAAGGTGCCATCCTACATGTTTCCATTGCATCGAGAAAAAAATGACGTTTAATCAAATAATTGTATAGTGCCCGTATTTTATAGAGTGGATTTTCAGAAGGCAATAAGTATTGCTTTCCTGTCTGGAAACTGCATTTTAAGATTTAAATCCTGCTTAATGCTCTATAACTAAACGGAAACTCCTTATTTTGTCCAGAAAGAAAGTGGCGCAAGATGTCTGGCTCTGAAATTCTGCTGAAGCTGTCATACTCTGGACAAGTACTGCTAAATGGGCACTTGTGGTATGACGTGTAACTCCTAACTATTAATTTAACTTAAAATAATGAGGCTTTTCCTCTGGATTAGAGGTCGTTAGTAGGCTAAATAGAGCTGGAAAACGTACACGTGGTGCAGTGAAGGTCCAGCGATCACAATCAGTTCATGCTGATTTAAGAAGGAATGAAACTGGAACAATGTATAAAACCATCATTTAAAGTGAGATTTTGACGCACACTTTCCTGGTTATTTATATTTAATTCCTGATTTTTTTTATTATTATTTTTTTTTTACCGGATGTAATGTTGGTACCATTGTATAAGATAGGAAAAACTATGTTTAATGTAATTAATCCTAGTCTATATTAAATATCTCAAGGCGACAGTGGAAAAGTCTGAAATTAAAAATTAATTAAATTGGGCATAATGGAAAGCCGTACTCACGCTTTGGGCAATTTTGAGATGTGGAGTTGCCTAATTATGTGTGGACTGCTAGAGGACACACAGCAATGAGGAGAATGTGACTTAAGTGCTTGGAAGATGGGTGGCTGGATAACTGAAGGGAGATTTGTCTAGTTGTAGATGTAACCTTTTCACTAATGTATATGAAAAAGGAGTACCTTACTATTTAGATGAATTGCACAATACTGGGTGTGTGTGTGTGTGTGGGGGGGGGGTCTGTTCAGCATACTTCTCTTGAACTCGTGTGACCTACAAAGACATTACATGTGTTTCTAGATTCCTCACAGTTAGGTAACTTGTACACAGATGCATTGTTCAGGTGGGAACATATCGTACAGGTCAGTCCACCCATTAACATTTGTGTTCCCTAATGAAGTGGTAAAGTTCAGAAAATGTATCGCCCACAATGACACACTGCAGCAAAATTGCAAGGATGTTTACTTTCCATTATGCATATATGGCCTTGAGTATTTCTTTTAGCTTGTTTAAGATAGAACCTGAACATCAGCTTCTTATATCTTCACTTTATGTATGTTAAGAGAATTACATTGTTTTTTATCTTTGATTTTTTTTTTTGCTTTTTTTGTGGTGTCAGGATATAGCAGTACCAAATTTTCTGTAAATCTGAACTGATGTGAACAGTAAGTATTGTTTAACACATCTGACACGTGAAAGTTGAGCTCTGCTGGTAAAGATCAGTACCTATGTATATACCCTCTTTTTGAATGGACATTAATTTTGGGTCACTGTTACTGGTGTCATGCTGATTGATTTCTTTATTTTGCTATACTGAGTAATTGCTTGTCCGTCGCATATCAGAGCTGTTAAACAAAATGTGCTTTAGCAGTAAAAGCGGTTTTATATTTTTGAATCAGTACTTTTTCGCCTCGTCAGCGGAGCAGATGTGAGACAGTAATGGGTGCCTTTAGTGTCCTGCCAGTTCACGTTCCTGTGCTGCAGGGCTTGCGGCCTGGTGTGGGCGTCACCCAGAGTGACATGGCGAGGGCCTTACGGCAGCAGAGTGTAATCCCATTATTTAACAGGACCCTCCCACAGTGCCAGTTTGCCCCTTCGCGCCCTGAAACACTGCTCTCCTGCTGTGGGTCCTGGTTCACGTAGTCCGGGTCCCTCACCTACACATATCAAGCCTGGATTCATGTAAAATTATTAGGGGAAATGAAATGTTAACCCAATTATCCCCCTTAGATTTAACCCAGATTGTACCATGGTAATTACAATGGCACAAAGGCCCTTTTTCTGTACAGCACAAATGTTTCGTGGGAAGTTTTATTTATCAGGAAAATGCTATTTTTCATGTTCTGTGGACTAAAATGTGCATGATAAAGGCGGAACCTGCTGTGTGCCCCTTCTTAAATACCTGTGACTTGCCCATCGTGCATGTGTGAAGCCGAAGACTTGTATGTACATTTAGTCGCTTCTACATTGGGATTTCATTGCATCTTGTCTATACATGTCCTTCAGAAGAGGGTAGAACCTGAAAGTTGCAAGCTAGTGTTTATGTAGGCTCAAGCACTCTGTGACTCACACAATTAATCACCATCAAGCTCGAGAGCTGACTGCTTTTAGCGAGCGGCACTTCAGTCGCGGTTGACGCCGGCCGTGTTGGGCGGCTCCGCGGGGCGGGACGCCGGGCAGGGCAGAGGTCGTCACGCGCTCCTGTCCGTCACCGAGGAACCGTGTGACCAGCATGCTAAAAAGCTGCCCTTACGGACCAGATCAGCCTTACACGGTTTGGGGTTTCTCAACTCTCTGGCGTCAAAGGAGAATGGGATGACTGACAAGCCAAATTGGTGTCACTGGTGGCTCACTGTCTATGTTCCCTTCAGTGGCCCCGGCACCCCTATCATGTCCACCGTGGCATCTGGCCAACATGAGTCTCTAAAAATGGGACGGCTTCCTCTTACAGTAACAATGGTGAGAAGCTCTTCCTGTTAATTAGGAGGAAAGGTCAACCAATGCTCAATTACAGCGATGTGTCAAGTCCCCACTGGGAGACCTTTAACTCCCACCAATGCGTGGCATTTACTCTTCATTATCGGCAATATAACAAATGTATTTAAAATAAAGGCTGAAAAATGGCTTTTGCTTGGATCAGCGATGGCCAGCTCGGCTCCCGGATCAATTTCCGCTCTCCGGTCGGCATTCTTCTCCACAGATTATCCGGAAACCCTCGGAGCTGGAGGCGAAGCCAGCCCAGTTGTGTCAGTCATGGGCGGTGTGCTGTGGCTCTTCTGTTGTCCTGCTGTGTGGGCTGCTAAGCATAGCCTGTAGAGGGCCTCGTCCCCTCCCTCCACAGGGGGCCTCGGACCACAGTGACAGTCCTGCGACTACGCTTCAGAATCTCGGGCCTGACCCGCACCGACATGGGTACACGGTGGGTCACTGTCAGAGCTGCTTGCTGGTTTTCCAGATATGGTTCTAAGCAGCCAAACCTGCAAGGGCATGAAGGCGGGGGATGGGTAGTTAGGACAAATCCTAAGGCCTCTGAGTGACAGGGACACTATATAATTTGGAACATAATTAGACTGGTCTGGACTGGGGGGCCCAATATGATATGTCTTCATGGGGCCCAGAATCTGTAGCAGCACCCCTGCGTACAAGGATCAGCGTCACTGAAATACCAGACCAACGCCCCAAGTCAGACTGATAAGTAAAATATATTATTACTTTGTAAAAT